TCTGTGTTGTATAGAGTTTTTATTTTATTTTATTTTATTTTTTGGCCATGGAGTGTCCTCCTTTCTCTTGTGTTCTCCCTCTTTTTATTTTTTTAACTCTTTGTGAGAGTGATGATGTGGTTGTAAAGAGAACAATTGGTTGGTAGAGTCCTAGATAAATAGACAAGAATAAGCATGTCATCAAGGCTAATCTAAACATTGTTTGAATGAGTCCATTAGTGTGATGATATTATTTTGTGCACTGCAAAGGTTGGACCACAAGCCTCAGTGTTTTCCCAAATTGAAATTTTACACTTGAGGAGCAAAATGCTTCAATATATTGATGATTTTTATCTATTACCTTGAGGCTATTACTGAATGATATTAAAGCTAGTGAAATGTGATTAGGACATGATGATTAATAAAAGTGATGGAAAATAACGTGTTTATAACTACCAAAAGAAGCGTTTAGTTTAATTTTTTGTCATTTTTCTTTTAAAAAAATAGTTATATTTTTTAAGATTTAATTGGTCTTTCTAAATCAAGTAACACCATTGTATCATAAAATTTAATAATAAAAACTTAATAAAAAATTAGACTAAATCAGGTGTTCAATATATTAAAATAATTTTGCATTAATTTTATACATTTTGTATTTTTTATTTTTTTTAAAAAAAATAACTATAGATAAAGAAGTATGAGAGAAATAACATTCTTGGTTAGTAATAATATTAGATACAATTCTAAAAACAAGAAAATATTTAGATTTTTTAAAAATTTACAAGGGAAGTACTAAGGTTATTTTTCTTCATCTGGCCAGGTTTTCTCCAATACAGCAATTAGTTCTTTTGAAATCTTTAGAAAAATATTTTCAAAGATTATAATATCTCATTATTCTTGAGAATTTCCCATGAATTCTTTCAAAACTTAGTAGAAGATTATAGAAGCTTTTAGAATATTTTATATTTTAAAAAATTAAAAATAATCATTATAGAAAAAGATGTTCATACAATTAAAAATGAAAACATGATTTCTTGGTACAATTGAGCTCATTTCTGTAAATTTTTAAATATTAGACATTTAAATATCTTTAAAAGGTGGTCATTTAAAAATGTATTTTAATTTTTTAAACTTTTATTGATATAACCAAGACTTAGGCATATTTTTTTCTTTAAATTAGTACCAAAGTTATTTATTACGAGGTTGTACTTGATACTCACAAAGCCACACTTTGACTTGTAGGTGTTTAATTATTGGACCAATTTTAACTATTATTACGACTTTTATAATTATAAAAATAAAATAAAAAATCAAGTTTTTAATTTGTTTATATAAAAAATCCTCTAAATTAGCATATTAAAATCAAATAACATGGCCAAGATATATATATATATATATATATATATATATATATATAATCATTCTACTAATATTCTTCAAGACACCCTTTCCTCCATTTTATGCAAGTCTTGACAATAAACCACTATCTAAAAGCTATTTTGTTGATATTATTTGCATAGTACAATTTTAAAATTTCCTACAGTTTTATTTTTATTTTTATTCCTGAACATACCATAGATATATATATATATATATATATATATATATATTGACGTAGTGACATAATGGTTGGTTTAAGTAATGGCTATAGAAGCACATTGAAAAGTAAGATTATTGTTGTTATTATTATTAATATTCCAAATGTTTTCAACACTCTAGCATTTGAATTGTAAATTTAAGATTTTTATCATCCTCAAAATTTAATTTTCTTCTTCACTTGCTAATAAAATGAAGTATACATTTAATAAAGTACTTCTTACTTAAAGATGGTAATAGATAAAAAAATAAAATAAAATTATAGAATATGTGACTCATTATATTACTCTGATAATATATATATATATATATATATATATATATATATATATATTTGATAATTTGTAGGGACTTAAAATATGTTCATGGTATATTTATTTTTATTTTTATTTTTTTCTATATGAGTACTTTTTAATATCTAATAGTAGTCCAAGTTCGACTATGGTCAATTTTTGCATGAATGATGAGTTCGTTCCCTACTTGGTCATCTATTCGAGACCCCCCCTCCACTCTAAATATGAATGGGGCGAGAGAGTGAGTGAACGAGTGAGAGTGAGAGAGTGCTCATGAACGAACCGTGAGGGAGGGAGGGACCAGGCAGGCAATACGACAGGCAGGGAACTCCGTTCCCAAGCGGGAGGGGGCGAATGGGAACCAGGTGCCCCTCCGCCCCCATTTTCCTTTCTGCCATTCTCCAACTACCAGTTGTAGCATCAACAGCCGCGAGTCCACATCGCCGCGGCCATAGGTCATGCTACAGACAATACATGCGACATCTCCACTCGTCACCACCGTCCTCCACCTCCATGCTCACTCCTCGTTGTCGCCATGTGGCAATCTCGCGCCACGTTGCAGCTCTCACAATCGCCATCCCTTGATTGTGCAGCCATAGTAGATCGGTCTGCCAGACGGCGCTCGATATTCGAGCTCTGACGTCCATTCTGTCATGCATCGCAATTTCCGTTCTTTGACCGGAACCCGCACTACACTCAGCGGGTTCCCCCCCCTGTCCCGTACCCTTTTTGACTACATTTCATGGTTTCCTCCAGCTTGGCGGTGCCTTTTTCTCCATCGGAGCAGCCTTCACGGGTCTCGCTCACCGTTCATCCTCGGTCAGCCTTGTTCGTGGCAGTCTAAAAACGAGTCTAGAGCGGGTTTCACCCCCGAAGGTACAGAGTTGGATAGGAAAACTGACCGACTTTTTTCGGACCTTTCTGTCGGGCAGTCTAGGCGCCGAAGCCTCTGGAACTCAGTGGAATTTTACCCCCTAGAATCGTGCTCAGAATTTCTTCTTCTGGATATCACGAGAGAGAGGATCATAAGTGGAAATGTGTGCGTTGATGAAAAGGTACAAGTAGACAGTTTTTTGGGCGCTCTGTGCCTTCATCCGCGCAGAGTTGAAGAATTCATGTTACAGGGACCCTTGCTGTATTTTAGTTAGTGAAATTCGCGATCCAGTTGTGGTCATGGACTTTGAGCGAGTCTCGGACTTCCGCGGGGTGACAGTAGTCCCTTGATGTTGTTTACCGAGAGATCTTGTGAAGGTTTGTTTGTGGCAGCAGTGCAGGGGACTGACTGTACATTCGACAGCTACACAGAGTCAACGAATCAGTTTCGGTGTAGAATTACGCAAAAGTGGCACTAGTTCGCTTTAGAGCCATTCTTGATCGAGCCACAGTTTTGAGCTGTCACATATCACGCCGTGACTCAGGTCATTACAGTGTACTGTAAATTCGTTGACAATCTATGATCCTCAGTTCGTCATCATCGGTTCATTCCGTCTCCATTTCACTACAGCTCCGCTACCTCTTCGACTCTGTGCTCATTCAGCACAGTTAGCAACGTATGTGTTTACACAAGGGAGTTGAAGCTTTTCCGCCGTGACTTCAACATCAGAATGAAGGACTAATTGTCAGCTGATGTCTCCAAGCTTTTCAGTCCACCTTGTCCCTGAAGCATTGATGAAATAATTTTCAATTGAACAAAGTCCTCTGTGTTTTTTATTTTTTATTTTTTATTTTTGAATCTTTCATGTATATTCCCAGTGCCAATCCACACTCTGTGTTAATCATGTACAATAGTATATAAAAATCTAGTGTTTGGTTATTATTTGGTAAAAGGTCGGGTTTTGTGACGTTATTCAACAAATTGATGAGCTCTCATTCTTAAATTCTTTTTTCAAAAACACCAAAACATGTTTCAACTAACTGTCATTAAAATAATCTATCATCACATCCCAAAGTTTGGCAAACCGGTTTTTTTTAGATTTTGATTGAACCAGTAATAAAAAAACATTGTATATGTGTTACTAATCATGTTCTCACACAGACATAGTATATTCATTGCCATGTACTTGAGAATCTAATGACACATTATAAATAAGCGAAACATTTCCAATACTGTTCGGAATAAACCAAGAGTTCTCTCCATGTATTCAACATGAGACTTAGAAAATCAATTTGAAACACAATTATCACCTATTCTAAATAAGAATTGACGTGACATACATTGCAGCCACAATACTTATACTCTCCAGTAGTGTCTGTTAGAAAACACCTCGTACGTCACAAAAAAAAGCAACTAAAATAATCTACCAGTTAAGTTTACGTTTAAGGTGTTTTGAAAAATTCCTTCCAGTACCAGCATCCACGACTACATCAACAAAGAGAATGTGATTTGTTGATTTCTTCATGAGTCTCCGCTTTCCATAGCTTCCGCAAGAACCGAGCAGATGAGTCAAATGTACATCGAACACGGTTCCCCAACGCGAGGATTTAGATGGGAACATGTTCCCTAGACACGGATGCTATCACCGAGAGAACAGCAGTGGGAAAGGGAAAGGCAAAGGGCGAGCGAGAGAGAGAGAGAGGTCATGGGGGTAACAAAGGATATTAAGATTCCATCGCCCGTCCATCGCTTCCTTCTGGGCCGGATTCGCTTCCACCCGTCATCTTAGCAACCCTCCCCGCCTTCTCTCTTTTACTACACAAATTCTCCAACTACCAGGTTCGGGACGGTGCGGGTCCCACATACCCGTAGAGGGGTCTCGCCTTGGTCGAAGAGCCCACCATGCGTCCCCAGCCCGGCCGCCTTCTGCACATCTATGCCGCAATACGGTGTCACTGCATGGGGCTCCCGTTGCCATCCAACGGCAACGATGTCGCCAACACACTACCCGCTCGTAATCGTGCGGTCATGACAAATGATGATCCCAGGTCCATCCATAGAGGAGTAGGCAAGGATCTGACGTCCGTCCGTCCATGACAGTGAGCATGCTCTGCACTGCATCCTCACGCGCTTCGTTTCTTCTTGGACCGGGAACCATACCAAACGGGTTTGTTTCCGCCCCGTTTCTTTTTTACTATGCATGCTTCTCACCAGGCGAGGCAGTGCCGTTTCTGTATCAGAGTAGCTTTTTTGACGGGTCACACTCAGCGTTTGGCCCCTGGTCACCCCGAGCATCAACGAGTTCGGAGGCAGTTTCACTCCCGGTTTGAGAGTTGGGATCGGAAACCACCAACTTTTTTCCGACCTTGTCGTTGGGCATTCCAGGGTCGGAAGTCTCTGGAACTCGGGGGAATTTTACCTCTCTCGTATGTCGTCGTATTTTCTTGTCGGGGAGTTCACGAGGAGTGAGCATTTATAAGTGGCGAGGCTTGCATTGGTGAAACGGTGCAAGTAGACACAGTTTTCTTTGTTCTTTGGGCCTTCATCCGCGCAGTGTAGAGGAATTCATGTCATAAAGATCATTGCTGTATCTTAGTCGGTGAAGCTCGCGATCCTGTTGTGTTCACGAACCTTTGAGAGAAAGAGAGAGAGAGAGGGAGAGAGAGAGACTCAAACATTCGCGAGGTGACGACTGTCGTCCCCTGTTGTTGTTTACCGAGAAGACTTGTGGAGGTTTGTAAGTGGCAGCAGTGTAATTAGGAAACAAAAACTAGGTTCACATTCGACGACTCAATTAAGTCCACGAATCGGTTTTTGTGTAGAATTACGCTAAAAAAGCACTAGTTCGCTTTTGAGCCATTCTTGATTGAGCCACAGTTTTGCGCTTTCACGTGTCACGCAGTATTCAAGGTCATTGCGGAGTACTGTAAACTTGTTGGCAACCTGTGGAGATTCCCACTTCGCCATCACTGCTTCATTTCATCTCTGTTTCATTCAAGCGCCGCTATTGCTTCGACCCTGTGCTCATTTCGCACAGTTTGCAACATCTCCATTTGCGTTTACACAAGGGAGTTAAAGCTTTTCCGCCATGACTTCAAGAGTCAGGATGGAGGACTAATGGTCAGCTGATTTCTCGGCGCTTTTGATTCTGACTTGCCTCTGTTGAGGCTGCGAGTGTGGTGCCGCGGGAAGAAAATCTCCTCAGCCTTACCGCCAATTACTGTATGCTTACTTATTTCGACCACCTTCTGAGCTATCACTTGTCCCTTGGTAAGCCAACGATCTCAGACTTCGCCCCTCGGCTGTCTACTTACTGCCCAAACCTCCATTACGAATGTTAAGCTTGATTTTATGCACATTCCACAGTGATTGTCTTGGCCTTCCGGAGACGCGAACTTCTTCTCTTTGATTTTCTCTGTTTGCATTGTGGACCTGAATGTGTAATTCCGGAGGATGGTGTTGCTGTTCTCGTGACAATGTCCCCTTGCTCCCTTCGTGAAAATCGTGTTTTTACACTGGCTTGCGTGGAGCCAGGAGTAATTCACATACCGCAGGCTGACATCTTTCTTTGCTACCGTGCTTAAAATGTTTTGCCTCTCCGACTGTGGCCGCAGCTGTAATGTCGACTTCATTTTCAAAGATTTTAGTGAACTCTCTTGTTTATTGTGAGCTTCTGTATTTTCAAACCATAAGAGAACTGCTGCTGACTTCGTTTGGTTACAATATAGCTTCGATTTGTAATGAATCCTACCGGAGACCGTTCTTGTCCTTGTTGGCTAGAGTCGTAAATTTCCTTGTGTATTCCGAATGCCGCAGCTATTGAGGATCATTTAGTCTCCATGCACATCCTTAAGCCACCCATTATTTCTTAGGATTACTCTGTCGTAACAGAGATCATAGATTCTGGCTTCATTGTAGATCGTAGTTGGAGCTACTCGCCTTCTGTTGAGTCACAGTTTTTGCTAACTTGATTAGCAACATAGGTTACGTGCTAACACGAATTAATGATGGAGCAATTCATCGTACACAGGAGGCTGTTATGTTGGATAGGCATTTGATAATGACTACCGGATTCGAAGTTCCAAGATGGTACACGTGGTACCATCTATCCGCATGGCATGATACGCCTGTGAGAGAATCCCAACCTCCTTCCTTCCCAAATCCTGCCCTCACCCTCCCCTCAGAACACACTTGAACTCCAGTACCTACTAGCGCACTTGTACCAATCCAATTCGTTATGGTTTACAGATCAGTATGTTCTCATTTCCACGTGGGGTACAGATGTGAGTTACCGAAACAGCTTGTATTGAGTACCGTAAGATGTGAAGGAGCCAACTGTCCAGCAGTCCGAAACTTTTAATGTTTTGTTCACGGTTCCTGAGTATTGGTTTAATCGCTAACTTTTTCATGATCAATAGTGTGGGCAATCCTCCTACATCGCTCTCGTGAGGCCGGATCCGGGAAGATGCTGAAGGTCATGGCTTTGGGGTGGGCGTTGTTTCTGCTTACCCTGGTGTGTTCGATGGTCTCTGCTACCGAGGACCTCAACAGCGCAGGATACCGTGTGATCGAAATCAACGAGCTTGCGGATGGAAGCGGGATCGCGGCCCACCTCAAGCTAATCAGTGGGTGTGCGACTTACGGACCCGACTTGGAAGACCTCAGACTTATTGCCAGGTAGTTTTTATGGCTTAGTGCAAGGGGTTTTTTCTGACACTTCACTTCTTATTGTGACGTATTATTTGGAACTTGTCCTTCTGTTATTGTTTCGGCAACCGTTTCGCTTGTGCAGTGGTGAAATCAGATAGAATACGTCAAAGACATTGCTTGATTGTTCTTCTATGGTTACCAGGTATGAGGAAGGCGGCCGTGTGCACGTTCACATCACTGATGCATTCCGCCCGCGGTGGGAAATTCCTGACTCTCTTATCCCGCGCGATCGCGTGCAGCATGTCAGCGTTGGGCAGTCCACTGCATCGATTCAGGTCTCCGAGAGCTCCTTCACGCTAGCGCACGAGAGCTATGCGATTTCCTCTCATCCGCTCAAAATCATTTGGACTAAGGACCCTTTCAGTTTCGCCATCATTCGGAGATCCAATGGAGAGATTCTGTTCAACACACTTCCAGAAGCCGAGGGCAGCCCGCACGCCTTCAACTCTATGGTGTTCAAGGATCAATACCTGGAGATTTCTACCCGTTTGCCACAAAACTCATACCTCTACGGACTTGGTGAGTCCACTAGTCCGGATGGAATGCGCCTCTCACAGGGACGGACTTACACCTTGTGGGCGACGGATATCGGTAGCTGGAACGTGGATATGCCTTTGTATAGCATGTATCCTTTCGTACTGGATATGCGGAAGGGCGGGACAGCACATGGTGTGCTACTCCTGAATTCCAATGGCATGGACGTTGAGTACAAGAAGGGGGATTCGCTCACTTTCAGAGTGATAGGCGGCGTGTTTGACTTCTACTTCTTTGCTGGACCGTCGCCAATGGCAGTGGTCGACCAATACACGCGGCTCGTCGGGCGCCCTGCACCGATGCCCTACTGGTCTCTCGGTAGGGCTTTTCCTATGAATTGCATTCCTTCAAATTTTGTATTGCATAGTGGTTTCGGATTAGGTGGCGGGTTTACTGATGAAAGGAATAAGTCTCGATTGACTGAGTGTCGATTGAAATTGGAATAGGTTTCCATCAATCTCGCTATGGGTACAAGGATATAGGTGAGCTGGAGACAGTGATGGCGAAATATGAAGCCATCAATTTCCCTGTTGAATCGATTTGGTCCGACATTGACCACATGGACGGGTACAGAGACTTCACCTTGCACCCGGACCACTATCCCGAAGAGAGAGTGCGCAGTTTCGTGAAAGGTCTTCACGAGCGGGACCAGAAGTTCGTCATGATCATCGACCCAGGTACGCAATCAGCCAATCAATCATATGACTGCTCCTTCACTGTAACATCGTGGCACGGGCTTCTAGAGTGTTGATGAATTCATAGAATCTGCCGATGCTTACGTGACTGCTGGCACTTGCATCGACAGGAATCAAAATTGATGAGAACTATGCAACATTCACACGAGGTCGAGAGCTTGGAGTGTACCTCAAGAATGGAACTGGGGATGGTTATTACATTGCCCAGGTATGGCCGGGATTCACCCACATTCCTGACTTTCTGCATCCCAACGCGCTCGACTGGTGGACCAAGGAGCTGGAAGAGTTTCAAAAGACTGTTCCGTATGATGGTCTGTGGCTTGACATGAATGAGCCCGCGAACTTCTGCGGTGGATCCAACTGTTGGTACGATCCTGCTGTGAAATGTACCATCATCGACGTCTGCTGCATGACTTGCGACAACCACCCAGATGTGCTCACACGCTGGGACAACCCACCCTACGCGATCAATGGCTATGCAAACAAGTTGCCAATTTACAAGAACACTGTGGCTATGACTGCTGAGCACTACGATGGCAGTCGAATTTACGATACTCACAATATTTACGGCATGACGGAAGCGCTCGCCACTTACAATGCCCTGAAGAAGGTTTGTGGACTTGCAGTGCTTGCAGTTAGTAGATGACATTCGTTCTTTCCATATTTGTAAATTAGAATGTGCTGTGTACACTCAAATGTGAAATTTCGGAATGCAGATATCAAAGAAGCGGCCGTTCGTGTTGTCCCGGTCATGCTTCGTGGGCTCTGGTTCACACTCTGCACATTGGACCGGTGATAATGGTGCGACATGGACCGATATGAAATACTCGATCGCCAATCTCCTGAATTCTGGCCTATTCGGAGTGCCCATGGTGGGCGCCGATATATGCGGGTTCTATTTCGAGACAAACGAGGAGCTTTGCCAGCGCTGGTCTCAGGTTGGCGCATTCTACCCCTTCGCCCGCTCTCACTCCGACATCCACACAGGCCCCCAGGAGATTTATCTCTGGAAGTCCGTCACGGAGACGGCGTCTAACGTCTTCAACTGGCGGTACCGCCTCCTGCCCTTCTTCTACACGCTGCTGTACGAGGCGCACCAAAGTGGTGCCCCGGTGGCGCGACCCCTCTTCTTCGAGTATCCAGAAGACGCCGAGACGTGGACCATTGACACCCAATTCCTTCTCGGAAGTTCAATCCTCGTCTCCCCGGTCCTGGAGCGTGGCGAAACCTCGGTGCACGCTTACTTCCCGAAAGGAATTTGGTACAACCTCTTTGACACTTCTAAAATGATCCGCGCCGTGGACCACGGAGTCTGGGAGCACCTTCCAGCACCCATGGACACGATCAATGTCCACATTCGCCAAGGTTCAATTATCCCAATGCAGGACTTTGCCATGACGACCACGGCCGCTAGGAAGACGCCCTTCTCCCTCCTGGTGGTATTCGCGCCCGCCTCCGACTTCGCTGAGTTCTGTGCCGCACCTTATTCGATTGTGTGTCAAGGCAGCGATCGCGAATACGCCACGGGACACATCTTCCTGGATGACGACATCCAGCCCACCATGGACATCACTGAAAGGCGCGCTTCCCACATCAAGCTGGAGGCAAGTCGCACCGATGGGCATTACGTTCTTCGATCGATTGTGACCCAGCCGGACTACGCCATTGATCAGGGGCTCGTGATCAAGACTGTGTCCGTGCTTGGTGTGCAGTCTCAACCGTTCAGTGTGCGCGTGAATGGCCGACTTGCTGCTGCCCATGTCAAAGTAACTGCGAGCGCCTCTCTCATGGAGATATCAGAGCTGAACCTCCCCTTGGGTGAAGAGTTCGAGCTGATCTGGAACACAATGCCAAACGGAAGCAGTTCTCATTCAAGCTAGAGACAACTGCAGATTGAAATCCTAGCTTAAAACAATCCAATTGTGTACCATAGACTTCCATTTGCCAATTTATGCTTCGGCTGACTAACACTGATTTCATTCGATCTCCTTCTCTTTAGTGGATCAATTACAGATTGATTTGCCGAGCTTTTCTTAGGTAACCCAATCGTGCTACTAGATCATAGCCCGCCGCTTGCTGATCAATTCGACGTAACAGAATATCTATCCTTCTGAGGCGCAGACTGATAGCAAGTATTTGTCGTGGCAGCGCTGGCTTAACATTTTATTAAGAAATAAAGATCGAAACATCAGTTTTTTTTTTGCTGAAATCTTTTTTAAAGCTAATTTGGCATTAGCTTAAGAAATTAAGAACGAAACCTTAGGTGAATTGGCCCACAATAAAGAATTTCCAGCTCTGCCTGAAGGAAAATCTAGCACGGAGATAATGATTCTCTGATGTTTCACAAAAAAAAAAAAAAAAAAAAAAAAAAATTGGTAAAGTGGAACTATCTTTGTATTTTTCTAGGTAGATTAGAAAAAATTGACCTTAACTGGTATAGCAAAGCGCGGCTGCAATTGTCTTGTGCCCAGAAACTGATGTGAAAGATTGTGAAGAATTTTAGGATGAGCTTTCACTCGGTTATGTTGTCAACAATGAGCAATTCATCAATATGGTGATAGTTGAATTACTTTCAGGGATGTTGCTTTGGATAAGGTAATGTCAATTCAGTAGCAAACTCAACTAAAAATTAATTACCATGAAATCTAAAATTTGTGCAATGGGATTGAATTGATCAAATTTACAATCACAAAAGGTGAAAAGAAATAAAAGAGGAAAAACATATGTAAGAAATGAATCAATAAGCAAATTGCAATAAACAAGTCACAGGCTTGGAGTCTTTATATTATTATTTTTCCTATGAGTACCATCACTTTGGGTGGTTGATTATAACATTTTGCATTGATTCTATGGCTTTAAAAGATTGATTGATTTCAAAATAATTTGTTTGGATGTAAACAAAATCCTAATTTGTTTACATAAATTTTGTCTAAACAACAACTTGTTATTTAATTGTCATTTTTATCAAAAGAGATACATTACATGATTTTTCAACATGTATTTTAAATATTTTTAATGTTTTTCTTATATTCAAATAGTTTTAAAAGTTATTAAGAGTTGTGATTTCTACAGAAATCATTTCAAATATAAAACTTCATACCAAGCTTTGTATTTTTCCATTATCTGCCAATTCTAATGAAAGATGATTTTATTAATGTAAAATGATTGTCTTGAAATCATTAAAAACTGTATCTTATATTGAGAAAATAAGGTTTTTTTATTTTTATTTTTAAAAAATAAAACTTAGTACTGCAATTTTTGAGACAACAGAAAGTACTTATCAAGGTTTCAATCCAAAGTTGCCCCTCTTATTTATGTAGCTCTATTTACATTCACATTCTCTATTCACATTCAATTATGTCATATATGAAGTCTAATATAAAACAAGTAAGACAAGTTGTGTCCTATACTTCACTATGGTAGGACAAAATTTCCAATGTCCTACATTAGAAGGGTGTAGTCATGACACAATAGTAACAATCATAAATTTTGTGTGTCTTTTATTACTTATATATTTTTTTCATGACTTTGTTTGTATAAGATATAAAATCAAATCCACATCATTTAAATATAAAATAAATAAAATATTATTTAAACATATTACGACCAAACAAATGAATCAAATTATATATATATATATATATATATATATATATATACTAGTAGAAACCCATGCAGCTAGCCACAAAAAGGTGGCCAATGGCAAATATTTCTTAGTTTATTGATTTGTTGGGAGTTCCATGCCTAGTGATCTCACAATGCTACTCTTAGCAATCTACAGCAAAAGCAAGCAGATTTTGATATTTGATTGATCAAAATTTGATTTATTGCTTCACTTTTGATGAAAACAATGAAATATATAGCTAATCAATTATGGTTTTTATTTATCCAAAATTTTCAAAACAAAAATTCAATAATAAAAACAATGAAATACATAGCCAATCAATGATGGTTTTTGTTTCTTTAGAATGTTCAAAATAAATATTCAATAATAATAAGAGAGAATCAAAAAAGATTTAATCACATTTTTTTGGCATATCATATCACATGGCATTCTAATTTGGAATGAAGGAAAAAGAAAAGAGTAGAAGGATGTCACCAATTAGGGTTTTCAGGCAACTCCTAGTGAGAGAGGCAGCTTTTCCACTATTTTTCTACAATCTTGATTGGCGAGATTGTTGTCAAGCATCGTATTGACATCACTCTTGTTTGCTTTGCTTGCTTTCTGTTGAGAGCATTAAATGTCACTTGTACTCTCAATGCTACTCATTGTAGTCTACAATATTTATTATAGCTATAGTGTTTGGAATGTAGTGGGGAGATATTATTTATCTTCTCCCCTTTTCTTTGTATAAAAGATATAGCCCTATCAATAAACTCACTTTTTATGTGTGTGTTTACATATGTGTGCATATTGTTAAGAATGTTTTAGAAAAAGAGAGACAATAGTAGCAAGAAGTAATATGCCCACATATGTAAATACATACAAATAAGAAGTGAGTTTATTGATAGGATTATATCCTTTATTTGAAAAGAAGGGGACAAGATAAATAGTATCTCCTCACTACATTCCAAATACTACAGCTACATTAAATACTATACACTACAATAAATAGTATGGAAATTGTCAATTATATTTAATGCTCTCAATACTCCTCCTTACTCGTCATAATATTTATATGTATAGAATTATGATCTATACTTTTTTGTAATCTTATAAGATCAGCAACTGCTGCCTCATTAAAACCTTATCTAGAAAAACCTTATTATATTTAAGAGCAAAACCATAGATGAAGGAAAAAGAGTACAACACTATCTCAAGAGTTCATTAATTTTCTTACTCTAGAAAAGCAAGTCTCCGCATGCCAATACCATAAGTAAGTAAGTGCTGGTTGTACAAAGGAAGAGCTTTGGTGATGAGATCAGCAAGGTTAATTGCATATTCAATTTTCTTGATTTTAAGTATTTGATCAGTAACTAAGACATGGATACAACTAAAATACTTTGGATCAATATGCTTTGTCCTATCCCCTTTAATGAAATCAATTTGCTTCTATGTAATACAAGCGCTATTATCATCATACAAGATAGTTAGAGAATCATCATATAAAAATTTACATGTTGTTTGAATGAATTTATTAATTAATCGCAACCAAATATAATCCTAACATGCTTCATGTAAGGCAATAATTTGATTTATTATTAGAGATTTTGTCATTCATATAAGCTTCTAAACCATCAATACTAATTAAATCTATTAGATGCATCCATAGTATGAACTTCATAAGCCTCAACTCAAAGTTTCTTATTTTCTTAGAACATTTGAGTAAAATATTTTGAAGTATGGCATGTATGTGCTAAATGTCCAATCATTCTACATTTATGGCAAGAATACATCTTTGATTTTTGTTTTTTATTATAATTAGTTATAGAACATTTAATCTTTCCATATAGGCAGAAATGGTCATGACCATGAGTGATCTAGTGCTTATGAGCATTTTTTCCATGTTTATATACTTGTTTCTTAGACTTTAGAATATTAAGTGAATGAGATTTTGGAATTGTAGATCCAATAGGACGAGCTTCTGCATTACGTAAGAGTAGCTCATTTTATTTCTCTACAAGAAGTAAATAGGACATGAGATCAAGATGACTCTAAAATTTCATATTCTTATATTATTGTGCAAGCACAATAGATGCAAGAAGAAATGTAGAGAGAGTTTTTTCAATCATTTCTTCTTTAGAGATGCTTTGTCCATACAATCATAGTTGTGAGATAATATGATATATTTCATTGTTGAAAGCATTTAAATTTGGAAAATCCAAGACATGTAAATGTGTCCAATCATGACATGCACATGGAAAGAAAATGGTCTTTTGATGATCAAATCTGGATTTAAGATTCTCTTAGAGCTTGGCTGGATCTTCCATTTTTAAATATTGATCTTATAATGCAGGTATAAGATGTCAACAAAGGAGAAGAAGTGCTTTCCAATGGATAGTAATAAGAATTGAAGTACTTACAGTAAGAGATTCTTCAAATAGAATTACATTAGATAATTGTTCTACAAATAAATTTACTTTTGCTATTTTTGTCTATAATAAATAATTATTTCCATTAGTAGCCAATGGTGGAAATAGAAGAGCTTGAAAATATTGGGATGTAATGGTGTTAGTTGGAAACATAACAGAGGAAGTTGGAAGATGTTGAAGCATTCATTATAAATAAATCTGTGAAGAAAAAAATAACAATTCAAGTAGATAAGATTGAATAAAATGTACCTTAGAATGTAAAGCCAAATAGAATGATAAAATTGAAACTTGAAATCAAAATGTTAAAAAAAATTAAGATACAAATATATATTTATATATATATATTTTCTACAAAAATAAGGATCTACGTTGGACTGCAACAAGGTATGGCAGTCGGTGATAGGATGTATCAGTCAATGGTAGGGCACGGTAGTCAACGACAGTCGACAGTTGTTGGCGGCAGTAGGCTATAGTTAGTGGTAGTCAGCGATAGTCAGTAGCAATCAACGAGAGTCATTGGCAATTGGTGGTAGTCAACAACACTCAATGGTAGCTACAGCAATAGTTGGCAGTAGTAGCACAACAGCATTAGCAGCAATAACAACAACGGCATAGGACTACAACAGCAGCAGCACAACAATAGCAGCAACAATAGAGGACAAGAACAACAACAGTGATAACAACAACAACAACAATAGCAGCATTTAATGTAATGCTACTGCTATTGTTATTCTATGTCACTACTGTTGTTGTTGCTGTCCTATGTTGCTACTGCTATTGCTGTAGCTACCATTGAGTGTTGTTGACTACCACCAATTGCCAATGACTCTCGTTGATTGCTACTGACTATCGCTGACTACCACTAACTATAGCCTACTGCCGCCAACAACTGTCGACTGTCGTTGACTACCGTGCCCTACCATTGACTGATACATCCTATCACCGACTGCCATACCTTGTTGCAGTCCAACGTAGATCCTTATTTTTGTAGAAAATATATATATATAAATATATATTTGTATCTTAATTTTTTTTAACATTTTGATTTCAAGTTTCAATTTTATCATTCTATTTGGCTTTACATTCTAAGGTACATTTTATTCAATCTTATCTACTTGAATTGTTATTTTTTTCTTCACAGATTTATTTATAATGAATGCTTCAACATCTTCCAAC